CCACCCTTGTGCTCAGACGCCAACGCATGCCCAGTTCATGCATCAAGCGGCTCTTGCCCCCCTCGCCAAGCGACGCTCCGGGGCAACCCAGCAAGTCCTTGCATACCGGTATTGTGCCTGGTCAAGTCGCTTGGCCACAGCTGCCCAACCGTTCACGTGGCTCGCCGCCGCTGCCACAGCATGAAGCACCGATGGTTCTACACGGAGACCTGAGACGAAGCATTCCGCCAACAAGGGCTCGAACGAGAGGTCTTTGTCTACCAAAACCCCCAAGACGGAAAGGCAGTCAACCGCCTTCGGCGTGGACCAAGAAGGGCTGGGTGGGCAGTGGGGGGTCAGAGCACGTGCATCCCACTGGCATGACGGCAGCTCCCTTTGCGCCTTCTGCGAACTTATGCCTCCACAGGTTTTCAAAAAGGTGATCCGCTTGACAGGCCATACTCAAACCAAAGGTAGTGGAGCTCAATGAGAAGACATCATCAACGTACTGAAACAAACCCACCTTGTGTGGTGCGCGCAACAAGTCTCTCGCTGATCGTGAATTCACTAAACTGCGACCCAGAAGGCTCACCAGCTGCGGTATTCTTGACCGCTTTACAAGCGAGCGGCAAGGCCCAGGGGCGCATGAACCCCTCTGCTGCCAAATCCGGACGGGCTTGAAAAACCACAGCGCCCGCGAACAAGCGGGGCACGCCCAGCCCGACCCCTGGAGTTGCTCTGTAAAGTTCTGCCAGGCCCTGGGTGAGCGTCCCAAAAAGATGCACGGAAGTCGCCTTTCCCTGCCCAATCCCAAAGTGACAAAGAGTGCGCATCGGGCTTAGCAAATGGGACAATTTAATCCGGAAAAGGTCATTGCTGAAGACAGAGTCTTGCAACAGCCAATTCCGCCCTTGCACCCCAACCTGAGCTAGTTGGTATAGGCAACCATCCCTCCAGCTCAGCTCAGATCAAAGCCTTGTAGCAAATCAGCCTTTTTCACCAGGGTCGGCAGCTTGCTGTCCATTCTCAGCTGCAGGCATGTTACGATGGACAGGGCAAGCAACAAGGAGTCGGTTCTGCCGCCGTGCTGCTCAGCACCCATGAACATTTCCAACGCGGATTTATTTCGCCACAGCCAGCATGCATCAAAAATACACTCCAAGGGGCAAGTGGAAGCAATGGGTCGGAGGTTCTGCAAATTGCGAACTATCAAAGGTCCCTTCTTCCTGATAGGCGTGATCTCTCGGAACCATGAGCTTGGGACCAAGCAAAGGAAGGCGCACAGGTTGACCATGGCCCAGGTGACCATTACGCCTGCGTCAACCTTTGCCCTCAAAGCCGCCCGTGGCAACCTGGCAGATGTCTTATTTGGTTGTAGCTGCTGGCAGAAGTCGCTCACGACCTGCAAGGAGGCGAACTCTGTGTCATCGCTCGCTGTGTCACTCAACGATTGCGCACGCCACTGCTGGATGAAATGCTGGACTTCACTTGTCCACTTTGGGTCTCCCGCCCCAACTTTCTGGGAGCGGCCGAGGATGTCGTCCTCGATCAAACGCATCTCTTCGCGTTTAGATAATTCTTCTCCTGTGTCAGGGTTGCGGAGCCCCAGCTGCAGAGGTATCTTGGGCTTGATAAGCGAAGAAAGGTACCTTTCCGCTTCAGCTTTGTTGCTGTGAAAAAGCCGCTGCATCTTCAAAAGCCTGGGGGTGGAAAATCGCAAATCGATTTCAGCCTGGGTTTCTTCATCCGGGTCAAAGTTGTCCGTACCAGCAGCATTCAAGGCTACAAACAATTCCTTCAGCCTATCCCCAGTGCCAACGGTCCCTGACCGCGGGGGGTGAAAAACTCGAGCCATGGACCCGAGGTGCCCCAGTAAAACCAGGAGCGCTGTCTGCCACCAGTCAGCTAAATCCAACAGGTTTTGCCTGAGTTTCCGCCGCTTCCCTTCTGCGACCGATTGTTTCAGTTGTTCCGCCTTAGTGATTGCGTGAGCCCAGGCGGCAACAAACATCAAAGAGTCCATCCCTAATCGTAGAGCTTCATCTCAGTCAGCCTGCCGGTCCCAAAAAGCTTTACCAACCGTCGGGACTTCATGAGCAGCCAGCGTGCGGCCCAGCACCCTTAGTACCACGAAATGGTGATCGCTGCTCAGAAGGTCGCGTTCTGGCGCAACAGACACCCTTGTGTCCAAAGACGCATGTGTCAAGACATGATCTAACACAGCCCCGTCTTTGTGAGTGGGGACATCAGCAGGATTCCTGGAAATGAGGCCAAAACCGCTTGCACTTGTGAGGAGCATCCAGATTTCTCGGTCAACCGGCCTCTCCAGTCGGGCATCCTGCCGTGACAAAGATGCCACGTGTAGGTTAAGATCCCCAGCTAGGACCAGCGGCGCGTCCCTAAAACAAGGCTCGCGTCTCAGACGCTGTAATTCCCGAAGGCGTTCGTGCCAGAAGGCCGTCTTTCGCAAACCATCCGGTTGGGGGGAAAAGCGTAGACTGCAAGCACCAAGGTGCAAAAGTCCTGGAGGTTTCCATCCTGGGTCGTCCATTCCATCCAAATTGCTCGTGGGTCACCACGCGCATATTCTGCATTGTTTCGTTTAACGCAACAACAGCAACCGTGTCAGGGTGTCGGGAACGTTCCCCCAAAAACTGTGCCCCTGTCCAGTCTGGCTAAGTCATCCGGGCCCGAGTTGCGGGTCTGACAAGATAGCCAAGGGGACTCCATGTCCATGCATGAAGGCCATCAATTTTGCGATGTTAGCTTCGTGGTGTTCTTCCCGTTGCCGGAGTCCCCCTCGCACGTTCCACGCCACGGCGGCAAGCTCTACACTTGACCCTGCCGGGGCAGAGAGGAGCTGACTCTGCGGTTGCACGTGTGCCAACGGAAGTCCTTGTGATCTGCTGGCGCATTTATCCTCCAGACATTTCGTAAAGATTTTCAAGTCGGTTCAGAAAGTAAGAATGATTGCCTTTTCGTAGGACAACGAATCCAATGGAAGCATGACGGCAAGCACGGTTGGTACATTAATGTCCACCAGAACGTTGCCATCGACGAACTTCAGGAGATCACCTTTGACAAGTATCTAAAGGATGATACACCACTCACTCCTCAAATGCATACTGCTTACAGAAGTGTCTTAGGTCAGATCAACTGGTTACAATCGCGAACACAATTCCAAATCGGTCATCAATTCTCCAGGTGTGCGTCCAAGGCATCATCACCAACCATTGAGGACGTTCGCGCCATCAACAAGACAGTCAGAACCATCAAAAGCATTCCGCTAAGTATGAGATTCTGGCCCCTTCGTGGGAAGACCCGAATAGTAGGTTATCCAGATGCATCCTATCGCAATAATGAAGACAAGTCATCACAACGTGCACATGTTATCTTTCTTGCAGAACAGAGAGATCTTTGCCAGGGCTCATCGAATTCGAGAGGCTCACTGGTCGACTATGAGACACATAAGATCACCGCTACAACCATGTCCACAACTGTTGCTGAATTGCACGGACTGATGCGTTGTTACGGTTCAGCCTTATTTCTTCGCGGACTCTGGTCAGACATTACAGGCGAAATCGCAGATGTTCATATCCGCACTGACGCTAAAAATCTTGCTACAACAGCATCCACAACTCATCAACCAGAACAGAAGAAAAAACAATGCACTTAATCCAAATGTTGCGAAAGGAGAGCAATAGTGGACATGCACGATCTCGCACATGTGCGAAGCGAGGACTGCCTAGCGGACTCGCTGACAAAACACTCCGTGAAGGCAGATGAGCTTATCAAGCCAGTATTCTCATGAATGTGGACGCTCATCCACCCTTCCGCACCATGTTGCAGAACAAAGCATTTTTGGTTGAATGGCTAGTACACAATACAAAGCACGGACCCGACCTAATTGCATTCGCGGAGTCGGTATCAGAATCCATGTTTGCTTATTGGGGAACCTGGGCATGATCCACATGTCCATGAAT